TTTAGCTTTCAGATAGCCAATAGAAGAAATGGGTTGGGCATTCAATCTAGTCAAGTAAAAGCAAGCAGAAAAAATATGTATAATCTGTCTCTAATTCATTTTTCCGAAAGGGCTGGGAAAAAATCATAAAATAGCATGAGAGATTGGTTCATTTTACACTGATCTTGAAAGCTCATTAAGGTATTTAACTTTCATGGATTGTCTGAGGGATCTGGAGTTGCTGTTATCCTTTTGTTTAATTACACTGTAATCTTCATGCAATTACAGTGATGATAACAGTCTTCCACAGACATAACAATAAATTAGCCATCTGGGGATAAATGACATTACTTAAAGCTTACTTGAATGAAGTATCAAAGAAAAATTAATATGGCTATATAGGACAAGGCATGAAAGCAAATTGCATTATCTGTTTCTAGAATTCAGCATTCCAATATATTTTAGGGGCTTAATAGCTTAACATATTCTTGAATTTGCTTCCTAATGAAATAGTTAGTGGAGAAATATCAGGAAAAGCACAGGGAAAACACATTTTACGTAGTTAAAAGAGATACAATGCAGAGTTTTGTGGGCTATGCTTTATATATCTATGTAGTACTTGTTAGTTTCACCAAATAAATATGTGAGCAAACTGTTCCTGATATGTTTTATTTCCCCACATCTTGCCATCTTTCCATCAAATGCAGGTGTATCTTTTGAGTCCTTGTGTAATTTAATTCCAGAAACAAGAACAGATTTATCAGGTTTTTACTGTTACTGCTGAAGAGAAGAAAAGAACAGAGGATGACAATGTGGTATGTCAGAAACAGTGAGATGTAAAACAAGAAACAGCCTGAAAATAAAATGCAAGCCAAAATTCTCAGCAGCATAAATTAAAACAATTACAAAATATATCCTACATCCCACTGGGCTTTCAACTAAAGAGAAAGCTGATTAGAGAGCTGGTTTGCTTATTCTCAATTAATTTCTCTAATGTTGGTTATAATTTCACCAAGGTAAATTAAATGAAAGGGTTGAATTAAATTGAGGTAATAACTAGTTCAAGAACACGTTTATACAAATTTTTTCAAACCTAATGAGAAGATGAATCTGAAGCAATAACATTTTATCACCTGAAGAAGAGTAGCTGCAACAAAAGGGCTGAATGTTTCCCAACCACATAGAAGAAAAGAAAAAAAAAAAAGGTATTTATTCTCTTGTTTGAACAGTGCAGAGGTTTTTGCAAGTAAGTTGGTTTGTGTGCTGCAATTGAAATGAGTTATCTTGAATGGTTAATCAATAAAAGGATGTCAAGATTTTATTAGGTGCTGATTTTTAATAAAACTGTGCTTACAAAATTCCTTTAGAAGTGAGCGACTGCGTGAGAACCAGTGGCTTTTAAGGTGTCGTTTTCCAGTGGTAAAACAATTTGGAAATCTCTGACACTATGGAAACACAAATCCTGGTGTTCTCTATATTATATTGATCCCAGCTGATGGATAGATATTCCTAAGTAATAACAGACCTAAAATATTCTAGCCTTCCTACGGTGGAAATCTTGGTGGTTTGTGCTGCAGGCAGACAGGGCTGTAGCTTTCCCAAATGATAGCTGGATACTCCAGCATCTTTCTGCAGAAAAAGTGCATTAAAAGTTCATCTGTTCACATAGTGAAAGATTTTAATAATTTGATTTTGATTTGGGAGTTTCTTTTTTGTCGGTAGATATTAGCATGACAAATAAAAGAGATCCTAGATGGAATGTCAGCGAGCTGGGACCACTGAATTGGGCTCACTGGTAGGTCTGTCCCAGTCTGTTGGAGGGATTTGAGGGAGGAGGAATATGAGACAGAGCACACACAGCCCTGAAGGCAGGGGCTGCAGTTCCTCTCCTGCCCTTGGCAAAGCTCTTGCTATACTCCAGCAATCTTTACAGAGGGTGCAGGTATGTTTCACCAGCTTTTATTTCACAAAATCTCGCCTTTCTAGCTACAAGTAGCAACAAACTATACTCTGATTTCCCTACTGAACTTACTTGCAGCTTTCTATTTACAAATGGGAATATTCAGAAATTGCTGAAATGGTCTTTAAGGTTAATGTCATGCAGATGGGTGGAGATGTTGTTGGGTAGAATTAAATACAATATTTGTCACAGCATGTGCTAAGTCTGAGTATTATTTTAATTTTTGAAATTGCTATTAGAACGTCAGTCTTATAGGATGTTTATATAAATTCTCATGTCCTACTTCTCAGGCTCTATCTCTGTATCTCAGACAGCTGGAGACATCAAGATGGCATAGAAATCACTTTTAGGGTCTGACTTTTTTTACATCCTATTAAGTTGCAAGCAGCTTATCTTTGTCTTGGTTGGTGATGCCCAACTCTGTTTGACAGAAATCAGGCACTAAACACTTCTTTGCCCCATAGCTGGTTATTATAAGCCCAAAGTGAGTCTCTTCATGAGAGAAGGGGAAGTAAATCAACAAATTAGGTAGATAACAGCCTGTTTTATGACAGTCTTTCAACTGTATAATTCTTAGATTGGGGGTAAAGTTGTGAAAATTATGGTAACTCTTGATCTGTACAGTACTGTACTTGTGCTGACTCTGCTTTCCATGAAAAAATGGGTTGTGCACTGGGTCTAAGATGGTAAATACAGAGTAGAAGCTCTGCTTCCCATTGAGGTAGCTTTAGACTCATATGAAATACCACTAAATGTCCCAGGACAGATCCTCTCAGAAGGATTTGATTTTTCTGAGACCAAAAGAAAAGCAGCCAGACAGTTGGGAAGTGCCTGCCAGTTCCTCTGCAGTTTTCTCTCTTGGCTGCACAAGCAGTTTTCAGAGTGTTTTGCAGGAAAACGAGCAGCAGAAGCCATGTACTTTCACCCTGCTAAAGTAAGAGAATGAGCAGGGAGAAATGAAAGCAATGATTTCTCTATGCAATAAGAGATTTTGTGGGGTGTGTGAGAGCGTGTTGTTACACCTCTACAAACCTTGTTGCATATGTGAATATACAAGCTGAAATCAAGGCTTTTGCTTGAGTGATCTGTGTTGAGGCCTGTCCTCTCAGGAAATCCACTTTCCTCTGGTTCCTTTTTTTGGAAGTTGCTCTGCTGTTTCTCCTCTAGTTTCTATGCTGCAAAGGTGCTTGAGTAAAGCCACCCTGGAATGGCAGCACTGCCTTTGCCCAGGACAGTCTGTCGTGTGAAACCTTTCACAGTTCAGCCACTGCTGCCAGGCCATTCCTTTTCTAGCTCAGGAACCACAGCTTGTTGTATTGCTAAGGGTTTTCACATATGGTTTTATTTAACATTACCTACCTGATAAGAAAATGAACTTTTTTTTATCCAAAAGCAGTCTTATTTCTTTCTACATTGAATATTTTCTATGAGGTGGTTAGATTTGTTCTGTTTGGAGCTCCAGTTACTTGGTTGTTTGAGGCTTTGTAAATGCATACCTTTTCATTTGGTCTTAAATTCCAAATATTACCTTTTCACTTCTGTGATCTGGAATTAATTAAGGTGTCTCAACAAAAGTATGCATCATGCATCTTCTGATTCCCTATGGGTCACCATATTTATGGCAGAAAAAGCCTTCTCTGGGAACTCCTCAGCAGACTTCAGATGAAGTCAACCAATGTGGAACTGGATCAGTTGATAACCTTTAAAACACACCAGCCTTTGTGGTTCATAAAAATAATATTAACATAAAAACATAAAAAAACCCCACAGAAATCTTATGTGCAGAAAGTTGTAATCTTGTATATTAAAGCTTTTTGAAAACCCAATATGTTAATATGCAGCAGATAAGGAGCATATTTTGGAATGGATAAATTCTGATGTAAAACACATTTTTAAATCAAATGCTTTTGCATTTAAGTGGTTATATTTATTTTCCCCAACCTGTTTGTGTGAGTGTAAATTTTTGCGCTATGAGGGGTAGAAATATACCCTTCTTGATTTACAAGTGATTTTAGTATTAGTTCGGCCTTAGTTTTAGTTAAATTTATATGTACATATTAAACTCACAAAATGCTGGCTGCTGTTTCCTATTTGTCTTCAATCTGCTGCTTAGGAGCATATTATGCTTCTAGGTATGGTACTTGTGTGAGTTTTGGAAAAGAGCTCTACCAACGCCTCCCACAAAGGAGAGATTAAGTGGTTCAGGAAATTGCAGGTCTGAAAAATTCTTCCTTGACTAAATGAATCAACCATGAGCATTTACCACTGTCAGAAAATTAGGTCACAGATAGTGTAAGCCAATTTTCTGTGGAATTCCATTCAGGAATAAGTTAATTTTACATTTGCTGGCTCCTATAAGTTGTAGTGGCAATGATAAAATGTTCATGCTTCGCCGTGGCTTCAGCCTTTGAATCTCTGTGATGATTTGAAATGACTTTGTGTTTCTTTTCAAGTTGTTCCAGTGCATGACTGGAGTTCTCATTAGAATGATCTCCATGCAAGGCCTGCCTGTTTCCCAGCTATCATCCACCTCCTGCTTTTCATTTTTGTCTCTAGTAAAGCTGCATCCGGCAAACACTTGGCAATACGCTCTGTGGTTACTAATTACCTGGGCTGAGTTACTTAGTTTTGTGTTCCAGCACAATTAAGACCTTTCTTTTCCTATTGTATCTGCCTCATTATTAGTTATAATGGTGACATTTATACTGTAAATGGGATGAAAGCATGAAAAGGAAACTGTGTGTAAGGATAGGACCATTGTGCAAGGGATGAATATATGCTGAACTGTTAAGGCTAATTTTAATATATGAATATGTATTGAGAGGTTTTGTTTACATTGTCTTCAAAATATTTTTGAGGAATGGTTTCAAGGTTATAGACCCACCCACAGTTGTGTTAAGATATGTGTGCACATGACTAGAGGGATGAGAAGCACCACAAATATTCTATGATATAGCATGTATTTAAAATGTCAGAAGCCCAGCAGATGAGGCAGGAGGCCAGCTTTGCTGACTAAGAATCTTCTTTTGGAGGTGAGACATAAAAGGATGGTGTGTACTGAATGGAAGCAGGGCCACGTGGCCTGGGAGACATACAGAGATGCAGCTCACCACTGCAGGGAGGAAATCCATGTGGCCAAAGCTCAATTGGGGCTGAAGCTGCCAATACTGTGGTGGGCAATAAGAATAAATTCTTTAAGTACATTAATAGCAAAAGGGAATGTAGAAATTACATCAGCCCATTACAGGATGAAGATGGTCACTTCATAAACAGGGATGTAGAAAAGGCAGAGTTGTTTAGTGCTTCCTTTTCCTCTGTCTTCAACACTGATGGCAGGCCAAATGGGACCCAGTGCTCTGAGCTGGAGGATGATAACTGCAAGACCATTACACTCCCAGCTGACTCTGGTGCTGTGGGGGTTCTGCTCCTCCAGCTGGAGCAGATAGATGATGGGATTCATCCTAGGATGCTTAAGGAGTTGGCTGATGTCATTGCAGGGCCTCTCTCAATGATTTTTCAACAGTCTTGGGAATCTGGAGAGGTCCTGCTGGTCTGGAAGGTGGCTAATGTTGTCCTGATTTTCAAAAAGGGCAGGAAGGATTACCCTGGTAACCAGAGTTCCGAGCTCACCCCTTTGTCTGATGCCAAATATTTGAAACTGAATCTTTTGTTGTATTTTCTCCACACCTGGCTTTTTAAAAAAAAAGAAAAGTCTATCACCTCTACATGAGTTGACTTCATGGAACTTGATCTACCCTACTGGCAGCCATGCAGAATTATTCCAGAGAACCACCTTGTTTGTTTGTTTGTTTATAGCATCTTATGACTTCTGGAACTAGTTCTGTGAACAGTTATCAAGCATTTAACTGCATATTTCAGAAGAGGACAGAGGTAGAAGGATGCCTAAAGCACTCCAGAAGTGTTTCCTATGCCATATCAAATAATCCCTTTTAACAAACCCATCTCATCTCACAGTGGTTAGGATGGAGATACTGTTGTTTATTTGTAGACCATCTATTTTTTTAAATAGAAGAGCTTTTTTTGCCACTAAAATACACACATTTTTGCTGTGAAGAACACTGCAACATTAATGTAGTCCCTGTAGATGACTGTTCTTTATTGAAGGAAAGACTCCAGTTCCAAACCAGTAGGAGGTTTTTTGGTGAGCACTTCTGATGAAAGAAGCCCAGTATTGATCTGAGGAATGCTGTCAATTTAGGGATGAATAGGATAAACTAGTGAGACCTGACACTGCAGAGAATACACTAGAAGTGCTGCATGGTTTTTAATCATGAAAGAGTTCTATCTGTTCCACATTTCATACGATTTTTTTTAAGGTTGTCACCTTTTCTTGTCTGAAATAGTCCCTTACTTTGTGTCTCGAGAAACATGAAAAAGGTTTAGACTAACTTTTGAAGAGGTCACAAATTTTAAAACCAAAACAAACTGCAGAATTTGGAATGCATAGAAAGAAGCCCTATAGAATATGCATGGGGATAAATGGCTCATTTTGGTGATGCCACATACTTGCATTTTGTCCATAACTGAAGTTATTCTTCCAAGAGTTTTATTTTTATTTCTGTACAAAAACTTCCTTCTTGAACTAGTTGTTCCATTGTTCATTTTAGATCTTCTTCTTGCAGTCATCTTAGGTGTTTTCCTGAAATTTTACCTCTCACTTAATTCACTATAAAATTTGTGGTGGGATTAATTTCTCTCAGATGGTCCTTTAATTCTCTGGCAATGCCTAGTTCAACATGCCATTTTATTAAATCTTTTCAGAATTTAGTGAAATGGTCTCAATTTTTATTTTTTTTTATTGTAGGTTTCATATATACTGGAGAAGTTGTGCATCGAATGCTAACAGCTACCCAATATATTGCACCCTTAATGGCAAATTTTGACCCCAGTGTGTCAAGAAATTCAACAGTCAGATACTTTGATAATGGTATGTAGTAGTTCTTCATAAATGAATGTGTCTGTGTCCCTTGGCTCTTCATACTTTCCTAAATAACAATTTTTGAAGGAAACATTGAAGGTTTGGGGTTTTTTCTAACTCACAGGCTGTATAAAGCATGTGGCTAGACACCCATAAGCAGTTCTTAATTTAGAGCACACTTAAAGAGTTATGAATGCTTTTTCCTTATCAAACAGTTATTTTCTGGATGTTGAAGTACATAAACTCAAACTAGCAATGCATTTTATCAGTTTTAAAAGGAAAAACCTGTCTTGTATAAAAGTGTAAGTTCCTGTTACTTCAAAATACATATAGTAGATACCATCTACCCACCAGCTTAAATGAAAACAGCACTTGTGGAATGCAATAGAAAGTATACACAGAGGCAGGGCAGATATAAGGTTAATAAACCTGTCAATGACTAAGTGTTCATGGAGTCCCAGAATTGGAATCCAATACACTCATCTACATCACGAGTTCTCAACACTTCCTTGTAAAAAAGATTGAAAGAGTAAAGGTGAACTGCAGTGTTATACTCAAAACTCTGAGATATTTCAAAGGCCTTGAATGTGTGGATATTTGTCTCTTGAAGTCAGTTACAATCAATATTTTAGAAACATAACCTATGTGATTAAAAGGCAGCTGGTGCCTTACCTCAGGCCTTTAGTGATCAAATACAGTGGCACTGGCTGAATTTAAACCTTGGAGAGTTTAGTGTCATGACTTAACGTCATGAGATCCATGACTTTTAAATCTTCCTGGATACACCTGTGCCATTCTATGTTTATTTAGAGTAAATTTAGGCACAAATTAACATCATGTTCAAAAACATATCGTATCTTTCCAGCCAGGTGTGTTTATTTTTATTCTTCAGATCAGTCATCAAAATATATCCTATGACTTTTGCACCTAGTCATAAACCTTACCTTACAATCTAGTAACTGCAACACTTATTTGTTAAAAATCCAATAAAATACTTACATGAGAAAATCCTACTCCTTGCATGAATAATTCTGAAAGAGAAAAAAATGCCATTTTCATTTCATAAATGATTTAACATTGCGGCCTGAGATTTGTGATCTTTGCTTAAAGACTCTTGAGGATTCTGGGAAGGACATTGCTAATTCTCATTGCATTCCTGACTTCCAGTCTTCATACCAGGTGTGTCAGGCTGTATCACGTGGCTCTCATGACAAGGTTGAGCTGGTTTGGATCCCTCTTCATATGTAAGGCAATCCCATGTGCTTTGGGACAAAGAATTTGCTATCTTAGCACCAAAAAAAAGGAAATAAGCCAATTGTATCTTCAGTACCTTCTTTCTTTTTCATCCATGTTTTGTGCACATGACAAGCACAGAGTAATGCAATGCACTAATAGAGCTAACTGCAAGGAACACATCTACACACAAATCAACGTAGAAGTCAACAAAAATCAACATAAAAGTCCCGAAAATGAGATGACTATTTTGGTGGTATCTGGTTTCCATTTTAGCTTGGAGTTCTGAAGTACTCAAAGACTGACTATAAGAAAATCTGGCTAATTTAACTTCAATAATTTTACATGTCTCTTTACATTTAAAGTGAAATTTAATATAAACAAATTAATATTCAGAAAGGACGATGTGGTCACAAAGGAAAAAATCTACTTTGTGCACAATTGTTGAGTATGTACTACACTTATGAAAGACATAGGGGACACATTATTATGTGGTGAACATAGTGCAGAGTGCACCCAAAATTTACATGCACATAGTTTCATGACACCCCTGCCAAGAGAGTTAGAGCACTGAACATCTGTGACAAAAGATACTTCAAGGATGTATCAAAAATATATTGAGCTGGATGCTGACCCATCATGAACACTCCAGGGAGAAAGGAAATCAAAGTGTTGTGAATCAAAGCACATAACTCCCATTAGTGCCAAAGAGAGGAGTTGTTGAGGAAAGCATATAAAGATGAAATGTCTGTTTCAGTAAACACAGTTTTAGTGATAAGTGTCTTTCAGTCAAGCTGCTTGAATATAACCCTCAACATCTGTAAAACATGCTCACAGGGTAGGCAAGTTGCTTGGGGTACATTTTTAGTGTGATAAGTGGATATTCAGGCAGTGAACTCCCATGAATACTAAGAAGCCTCTTGAAACTAAATCTCTGCACACCAGACTCAGTATTTACCCCATCCATGAATTCTTAGTGGATTTGATTTAAACTGCATTTATTTATTGCCAGCACCTAATTTTTTTTCAACTTGCAGAACCTCAGCAAGGGCTTGCACTATGCAGAAAAAAAATAATGCTATTTGATTAATGCATAGTTAATGGAAGAATCTGAATTAATCAAATAATAACTTTTACTAAACAGGAAATGCTATTAGCACTTCACATTTCAAAGTCATAAGGGTATATGTATATAGTGTAAAAAAAGCCACTGCAGAACTGTGGCAGCACACCTGAACTCTGAGTGCTGGTTCTACCTTTAGGAATTGTAGATTCCTTGTGCAATTCCAAACAAGATACTCGACCACTCTTTCTTTAGCACTGGTTGAGATGCTTATGTGTGACACTGTGGTGTCTGCATTTAAGAGGATTTCAATTACAGTTTATGTTTGTAATATCTTTGGTATTTCAAGGCAGGGAGCTGAAAGTTGCTGAAAAGAGAAAAATCACTGTTCTTGTTTTGAGAAACTACAGTTAAGTACTTTTCCTACAGTCAGTTAATTTTTTCTCACATTTTTTTTCTTCTTTTTGCCTCTCTACCCCCACTCTGGGGTTCACAGGCACAGCACTAGTTGTCCAGTGGGACCATGTACATCTGCAGGATAATTACAACCTGGGCAGTTTCACTTTTCAGGCCACCCTTCTCAATGATGGGCGTATCATTTTCGGCTACAAAGAAGTAAGTTGGGTCTGAAAATTGTCATTTAAGTGGACAAATTACTTTATATCTGCCAAGAATTTCCCTACCTTTTTTTGTGGGGGGAGGATATTTGAAATATCAGCTATATAAGATCATTTCCTTACATTGATTTTAAAATCACTATTTTGCTGAAAATTATGTTTTATTGTAAAAGTGATGTTCATGTGATGGACTTAAAAAGCATCAACATGACTCAAAGGTGCTTCTCCTGGAGTTCAACTGGACTTTTTTGGGTGGTTCTAAGTGTTGAATGTTTAGTAAATTCTTGGGGTTTTAGTAAATTCCTCTGGGCTTTTGAAAGGTAGGATCTAATTTGCTCAAATAGTTCACCCAATTTTGGCCTGTTTGAAGATAGTCAAGAATCAATGGTTAGTAGTAAAAGATCACCTTTTTCCTCCAGTTGCCATTTCTTGTCAACTCACATATTTTAGAGTTCATATATCTCAAATAAGAAATCCAACTCCATGAGGTTTTCCCTCTATTTGGTGATAAAACCTCTTTGATTGAAGCCATTTGGCTTGCCTTCATCACACCAATACGTTGTCCTGGATGGGCTCTTCTGATTTCTCCAAGTGTTTCAGAGCTGTGGTTGTTGCTTTAGGTGATTTTTTTTAAATTTGCTAGAGTTGCTAGACTTCTGGAGGCTCTAGCCTAGTTGAATTTCAGTGGTTTTGCCAGGAAAGGTTGAAACAGATGATCCTTGAGGTCCCGTTTCAGCCTGGTATTCCATGATTCATGCAAATAAGAAGCAGAAAATAGATAAACTTGGATCTTTAGGGGCAAAGAACAATCTCTCTCTCTCTCTCTCTCTCTCTCTCTCTCTCTCTCTCTCTCTCTCTCTCTCTCTCTCTCTCTCTCTCTCTCTCTCTCTCTCTCTCTCTCTCTCTCTCTCTCTCTCTCTCTCTCTCTCTCTCTCTCTCTCTCTCTCTCTCTCTCTCTCTCTCTCTCTCTCTCTCTCTCTCTCTCTCTCTCTCTCTCTCTCTCTCTCTCTCTCTCTCTCTCTCTCTCTCTCTCTCTCTCTCTCTCTCTCTCTCTCTCTCTCTCTCTCTCTCTCTCTCTCTCTCTCTCTCTCTCTCTCTCTCTCTCTCTCTCTCTCTCTCTCTCTCTCTCTCTCTCTCTCTCTCTCTCTCTCTCTCTCTCTCTCTCTCTCTCTCTCTCTCTCTCTCTCTCTCTCTCCCTTCCTTTCCTTCCTTCCTTCCTTTCCTTCCTTCCCTTCCTTTCCTTCCTTTCTTTCCTTCCTTCCTTTCTTTCCTTCCTTTCCTTCTTTCCTTTCTTCCTTTCTTTCCTTTCCTTTCTTTCCTTGTTACTTTAATCTCCATTTGGCATGCAAACTGTGACTTTCTCTTCAAGCCTCTGTTATCCTCCTTGTGGTAAAAAAAAATTAATCAGTGATACAACTAATTGTCCAGACTTTGAGAAATCTGGGGTCTCTTCTCTCTCTGCTATAAAACACTTGTGAGCCTTCAGGCTCATTTTTACTGCCTGTGTTGTAGCCATGTACCTGAATGCAGCAGAAATAATCTCACTCCTCTCCCCTTCACTTGAAATCTGATGAGGATCTGGGTTATTCTCCTAGCAGCAGTCATGTCTTCACTTATGATAGATGTCTTTGCACCTTGTGAGCAGGATTGCTGCAGGATGCTCTTACTGCATCAGTTTTGTAGAAACAAGAAACTTCTGGCATGCCCTGGTACCTGGTTTTCTTCATCTTATAAAAGACACACTGAAGCAAGGTCTGCTTATGTTCTTTTTGTGAATTTTAGAGTCATCATCTATGAAAATGCAGTTTATGTGTATTTTGAATCCAACTTCATGGCAGTTTTACTCTGCTTAGTGCAATGGAGCATATTGATCAAAGGAGTGTGCACCAAAATTTTGTTTATCTCTTGTTGAAACCTTTTTAAGGAAAAGCAAAAACTTTTTACATACTGCAGAAAATTTCCTGCTAGAGAGGTGGGGAGAGACATTACTGCAATTTGTAATTTTAAGATAAATTTGACGAGAACTATACATGGATTCTGAAATTAAAATGGTCACATTTTCAGGAGATTTTGGTTATAAGATGCTCTGCCCTGTCTGTTACTGTCCAGCACTGTGCAAAATGAATCTAATACAGGTGATAGAAGTTGCTGCCCTTGATAGTATCTTGCATTCATTTTGCATAAAAGTACAGGATGATGCAGTGTTGAGCAGCCATTGATATGGGAAGACAGGAGCAAATGTGCTTTTATCAAAAGTGATTCCCCAGAATTGCAGGCGAGTACATTGTTTGATCCATGGATAAACAATTTCTGTGCTGCAATGGTTCAGGCTGTTTGCTCTCATTTCACTACCAAAAGCTTCCTCCAGAACCACAATGATTCTGTGGTAAGAAGTTATGAATATTCTTTGCAATAATCTTGATATACAACTGGAATTTACGATTGAAATAATATCCTTTTTTTCTACTGCTGGATCTTTGAACTCAAACCCTGTCATGAGTTATTCTTGTCCTGAATGGAATTACTAAATATTGCTTTAGAGCTATTGCACTTAGTTAAGGAAAGAGACTTTTTAAGATACTAATTATCTGTAAATCTTTTGACAGAAGATGTTTGTAAAAATTTTGAATATTTAAACTAGTGTGTTCCAAGGGAATTACTTGTGGAATGGTTTTGAAGACTGAGATTTCCAGAAGACTGCACTCTTTATTTGCAGATTTTACTCTGTTAAAACTACCACAACTTTTTACCTGCATGAAGAAAATTGAATAAAATTGACAATCCCTAATCATACACAGGTCGTCTGAAAACAACACACAAGACACCTATAAATTTAAACTTGATTCTAAGTGCTTACAAGTCTGGCTTGGAATTTATTTACTTTCCAGTGCTGAATCCTTTGCTTTCTGTGAAAGTCCTTTCTTCTGGAACCATTTTCCTTCCTGATGAGTCGTGTTGTCTGAAGTCCCATTAAGTCCACTAAGATTACCTGTGTAACTGCTCACTAGTATGACTAAAAGTTGCACGAGAAGATTTCTATTGTCTTTTTGGTGCCATTTTATTTTAGCACCCCAGTTCATAAAAAGTTGCAGTGATATATGGCAAATCTGTGAGATCTTCATGGCATTGTCATTGAAAGTCTCCAAGCTGAAGAGCTGTGTAAGAAATGCAACAGGTAGGTTGCTAGTAACTTAGTAAAGCATCCACACAGGCTCTGTACTACTGATACAGGCATCTATCTTGGAGAATCTACCTTTAAAATAACTATGATTTTACCTTTAAGGTAGGTACAACTAGAGACTTTTATGTTGAAAGCACTTTAGATAAAATTTACCTGTTATCTCTTACTTATTCAAACCATATGAGATTCCATTTTTCACATCCTTCCTGCTCCTACATTAGGTTTGCTACCTCATAAACCTGGTGTTGACCACCAAGACAGGATCACTGAGTACCAAGGGAGTTCTTCAGCCCAATCTTCTGCATTCTGTTGTTTTCCCAATAGGAAAGAATCTGAAATTCACAATTGTTATCCAAAGTCCAGATTGGATTATGAAAAAATAAGCATTTAGAAAAGGAGCTGAACCACCAGGACAGGGAAATATGAAGACATTAGAACATCTTTCAGAGAAGTTAATTGGTAGGAGAAGGAGTTGTACAGTCAAATTTTCAGAACACAACAGCAGTTTGAGACACAGCAAGGTCCTATAGCAAGTAAAATATTTATTTCTTGAGCAATTTACTTTTTTTATAATGCATGCACCTTCCATTTTAAATATCACTTTGCTTATACCAACTGTTAGTATTCTGGCAAATGGTTGATATGTCAGGAAACATTAGCTGGCATGAAAATTTTATTGTTGCACCTCTACTGCATATGAAATATATTGCAGGGCAAACTAGCCAACAGAACACAGTAATAAAGAAAAATTTCTGCAACAACATAGTTTTTATGTGTTAGTAATGAATATTCATTTCTTATGTTCTAAATTTCACTGAAATTCAATTCTCAAGAGTTTTACTTCTTATTAAACAAAATAACTATTCTACATAGTCTATTCCCATTAGTGCTTAGAGCTAATGTTCCTTAGTGTAACATTTGGTTTCTTTTTCTGTCCTTGATTAATACAGGACAAATTAGGCAAAAGCACCATAGGCCTTATTAATCGTTTAGGATATTTTTCTTAATTTCATTGGCTTGAAGGCTTTCTTTGTTCATTTAAATAGTAATGACTCCCTGTTTATGTAGTCATCCAGAAACCATTATTAAAGTTGAAATGCTTGTTCAAACTGCCCAATATGTGAAGTTGGAAAATAATTCTAAAAGAGACTTGTAGTAGAATTTCTTTCTGTTGTGAAAGGAGATAAATTTAATTGAACTGATGAAGTGCTAGCATTTAGATAAAATTGATCCCCCTGCTATGTGTGATGGCAAATACTCTGTTTTCAGTAACAAGAATCCAAACCTTGTTATTGTTTCCTGAAAACTAACTATCTAACTAACTAGATAGATAGATAGATACATAGATAGGTAGATAGATAGATAGATAGATAGATAGATAGATAGATAGATAGATAGATAGATAAAATGTCTTCATGGATATTCTGCCTTCATTATACATGCCTGGCATTTCTTTGACTCTTTTATTATTATCAAAATATTAAAATGGAAACAAGACCTTTGATTTTTGAAGTGAGCAGTTGATGCAACTTGGAATTCCTGATTGTTTCATGCAGTTTGACTTGTAGAGTAATTAATAGCTATTGAGGAAACTGGCAATGAAAGCCCTATATAAGGACTATTATTGTGTTGCTAATTATTGTTTTGCAACATACTGTGGCTCTCATGTTTGACTCAGTTTTGAAGTGGGGCACTCATTGCACCCTGCTTGCCATCTCCTTCAGAATAAGGTCAGAGGTCATTGTTTTCTTTTTTCTTGGAGGATAAAATTCTGGAATGACCTCAAAGTTGAAAAGAATAAAACTCGAGAAGCCTAATGAAAAATACTGACTAGATTTCTGATCCCAATTATAGATGGAATTCAGCATGAATTCTCAGTGCGTTTCACCCTACTGTTGAAGTATATAATCCAAAATACAGACTTTAATGGCCTCAGTGTTAGTGTGCATTTGAGAAGTTTATTCATAAACTGGTGACTTGTACAATATGAGATTCATATTGTCTGTGGTAAAGCTGAGATATGCTTTGGCAATTTTCTAGCTAAAGCCATTCTCTGAAGGTAATGTCCTAAAACCACTGCCACCCATTAGCAACTACTTGCACATTCCTAGCTTGCTGTTTAAATGTTTTATACATCATCCTGTTATGGCATATCTTGCCATTCAGGTGGGGAATTCATAGCAGCAGCTATTCACTTGCTACCTGTGTTTAGCTGTAATTGTCAATAAATTATTTTAATATCTACTACAAGCTCTCTATCAAAAGGGCATGTTTCCTGATAGGCCAGTGTATGGTAAACACCCATTTTATCTTGACATCTCATGCAATAGATTTCACCTACAATATGGCATTCAGTGCACTCATCACTGTTTTCTTTTTCCTCACCTTAAAAATAAACATATGTTTTTGCAAATACAGCTTTAATGACACTGTAGTTTTTCAGGAGAATAAAGAGTGTTCCTGTGTTATGGATTCCCTTCTACTTTGACTCATTTCTGTCTGTGTCACTGTTTGACACAGGCTGCCCTCCAGTTTGAAGAGCTGGCTCTACTAATTTTATTTTATCTTTTTTTTCACCTTACAAAAGCACTAGTTTCTAAACCCTCTTTCTAAACATATATCCAAACTTTTGGCTGCTTCTTCTGTAAGTCTGAACCCTACTATGGCTTCCTTATTTGTTTTAGAAAATGATTCTGCAAGTTACTTCCTCTCACTAGAATGCCCAACACAAGAGTGTGGACACCTGCAGGAATTTTGGAAAATTACTGCAGGAAAATTACTGAGTTATTTCTGCTCCAAATTTTTCTAGCTTCTCCTGTATTTTCTGTTCAACTTGGCTACTGCATCCTATTTTAGCACCACATGTCACTGAGTCATTCATAATTTTATTAACTTTCAAGGTCCAAGTTGTAATGAAAATAAATTTATTTTAAAAAACAAAACAAAACAAACTCACTTGTGCAAGAACTCATTGCTCCTTCCTAGGGTGCAAAAAACAAAATAAATAAACAAAGGATAAATTAGTTTGCTGTTTTCATAATTTTTGAGGAAAAAATGCAAATTGTTCAATTCACAAATTCACAGTTACCATGTGATAAGGCACTAGACTTAAAACAAAGGAAGCTTATGCAATTTCTCTTGATTTACACTCACACTGCCAATTTTGCCAGCATATTTTGTCACACACCTACTTGTAACACTGATTCCAACAGCATTTTGTGTCCATAGAACTGTGATTCCTTTCTTCAGCTGCTGTTTCCTCTATGACTTGGAAGAGCAATAGTCATTGCATCCTTCTTATCAGTGCTTTTTCTAACTTAATTTTCTATAGCTTCTCTAGAGTATCCTCCTCAAAATCCTTTAAGACAGTTTATTTGATAGTTAATACAGACTTTTCTTTCCAGTGTTCTGAGACTGCGAATAATTTTCTTACTTTGTTTATACTTTCATGCTGGAGAAAATTTACAGACTTAGTTCTGAACTTAATGAGTCTTTTATTTTAAAGAATTTGAAAATATGGTTTTCAGCTGCCTTCTGTTATATTCTCAAACAACTGCATCAGAGCCAAGCTGAAATAAGCCAAATTTAAATTGATTTATTGCTAGGAGTATTTCCAGGGCAATTCTGCTTTTCATGTTGGTTTAACAACTTGCCACATGCCTTTTTTATACCACAGCAGATCATGTATGCAAGAATCCCTAAATAAACCAGCTAAACCAGTCACTAAATTAAGTACCAGAAGTGGAAATTTATGACACTGTTTAATTCACCAGAACTTACCTTTTATGTTACCATTCTCAAATTTAGCTTTTACTGAACAGTTACCAATGTAATCAGGAAAAATGCCTAGGTAAATGGTATTTTGGAAACAAGGAGAACTACTGGTGCTTAGTCATGCCAATAACTGAAATGTAGACAGAACTGAATCCTCATTCACTGGGTGTGTAGGCAGCTCTTTACTTTGGCATCTTTGGGCTCTGTGAGAAAGACTGGCCAGCAGTATAATTTTGGTAACAGGTAAATTTTGACACAGGTAAAGTCAGAAAAGGCTTTTTAGCTGAACTAACACCTTGTGCCTCGGTTTCTTACTCTAGATCCATTTTTGTCTGTCTTCAGCCTAGTAATTTCTGGTTAACTGATGGCCAACTTTGAAAAATAAGATACCCAACTATGATCTGAGAGAAGCAATGGGTAGAGAATCATAATTGCTCTTGGTTGTTTGTTCCAGTGGTTGATAACATTCATTCATAGACACCTGTGGCTTATTCCACTCCAAAGGTACTTACCAGAAGTTTCCAACTTCTGGTTATATCTTTCCGTGCTAGGCTAAAATACTCATTAGCTTCTGATTAATTTCTGCCCATGGCAATACTTGTTTATGGAATCTAGCCAACTTTCCATTATCCCATTAAGAAGTCAAAGGGATAGACCTGTTCAGCCCTTCTGGTAATGGCATTTGAGAACTGAAAAAGTGTCTGTGTAATGTATCATTAATGAGCCAATGTTCAGGTGCAAGTGAAATGGTCACTCCACACCTAGGCTATATTTCAGTGTGCAACCAAATATCACATCAATTCTGTTTCCTTGCTGCAGTTTCCCTTCTGACTGCTGGAGCTACTCATTCACTGCAGGACTGAGATTCCTTCCAGAACTGCTGCTTTCTAGACCATGGGCCCCAGACCTCTCTCTTGCACTCTCTTTTTTTCTGTGTTATATCTTTGCAATTTTTGCAAGGTCTAACCTTGTTACTTGATCAAGGCATTTCTTTATTTTTGCTCTGCCAGAGCCATGTGGAAAACTGCTAAGCAGTAAATTCATTTTTCCTTCTTAGTCTTTGGCAGAACTTTTAAATATTAGGTCTGATCTCTGGAGAAGCAAGATATGCTGTAAAGACATCTGGTCAGTCTGAGCTACTTCTTTAGAGATGGCTGCTGGTTTTGATCAGTCTAGTTAATTATATGAATATTGCATAAATGCTACATGTAACTATATCAAACATCTTACAAAATTCTAAACCGATTAGATTCATACAAGTATCATCCAAAGCTGCAATCTTGCCCCAAGAATGGAATCAAACTTGACAGCTGTTCTCATGCAACTGTGCTGCCCAGCATCAATATCTCTGTTATGTAAAGCTGGACTGGTCTATGACTATCTATATCTTTTTATTTCTTCTTCTAGTTATGGGCAAGTGAGTATCTGAAATTTTCCGTAGTTTTTCTGCTATTTCAAGGCATATTAAATATTAATATCACTGGTCCAGATTCTCTACAGATAGCTCTTCACACAGTTTTCAGTGCAAGTTAACTAAGCCCAAAGTTTTTAAAATGCTCATTTCTAGATGAACTTTCAGAGTTTGTGTGTTTTATAGTAGACAAGAGGTATTGCCTCATCTTGTTTGTGTTTTACTAGCACGTCATCCCACTTTTTCTTCCACTGAGGGAAATAAATTACTGGAAATTTTTACCCTTTTTCTTCTTTTTCATTAATTTTTTTTTTACCTCTAAGTGTTGATGTGAACACTGTTCCATAAGAAGTAAAGCAAACTGGGATAAAACACAAATTAAATCCCATCATTGCTATCGTAATTCTTATCAAAGTTCAATATTTCATGCATATCTTTCTATTTTGTCTTACAGATTCCTGTGGCAGTGACACAGATCAGTTCAACCAACCATCCAGTGAAAGTAGGACTTTCAGATGCATTTGTGGTCGTGCACAGGATCCAGCAAATTCCCAGTATGTAGAATTGTAGTGGTGCTAATGATTTAGAGGCTGAGAAATTAGTATAAGCTGATTTCATCAAGGATGATTAGCTGCACAACAAATCACTTAGCTAATTTCAGCTTGTTAATTCAAGTGTAATTTTATTTGCTTGATAATTCCCAATATGGCTTTTTCCTGTCATTGTTTCTTTTGAGCTGATAAATTAAGTAAATAAAAGTAAATGGCCAGTCAAATAATGTCAAATTAAACTGTCAAGCAGCACAATTTGGTATTCCATAAGATACTTTATTGGGAATAACTCTCCATATCCATAGTAAGGAAGAAGCAGTCTGTTCAGAAAAAAACAGCTGTATCCAAAAATATCCAGATTGTTAATTCTTGATATTTTACATTCTGAACTTCAAGTTCCTATATACATTTTAGTGAGAGGAAAGAAGAGGAGATATAGTTATTAGATAAGATCTTGGGCTCATAGTCACAGCAACAGTATTGCAGGTGACATTTAGTTCTCTCTGGCTTTAATTTTGCTTTGTATGGCTCAACTGAAACTGAATAGCAGGAAATCAAGTGTCATTTCCTCAGTGCTTTGTTTAGACATACTGTGTGCAGAACACTTTGAGGCTGTTTAGCCATTAGATAATACATAATTTCCAAGTCTGCTGGTTTTATTTACGTATTTGGAGAAAATTTACCAAGTTCAGTTTTTGACAATCCCCTAATAGCATGGCATGGATAGAAGGGGCTGTGCTTCAACCAACCTCCTAGGGCTGAGTTCAGGCATATTGTCCTGAAGTGAATGCTGATAGAGCTGTGGCACAGATGGAGCTCATGAGAACTGACCCAATCCAGCCCATCTTTAAGAGAGGCTGCAAATGGGGCTGACAGTGAAGTCACAAGTGCTGCTGCCTCTCAGCTCATCCCATCCCCTCATCACATAGAAACATAGAATCAGTCTTTGATAGGAGGTAGCTTAATCGTATGTCTTACATGTCCTCCACAGGGAATATGGGAAATTACAGTACCATCTGTTACTTGTTGTGAGCTCAGAGTAGTGTGAAAAAGGTTGGCATGCCCAGATTTCACTTAAGAGATCAGAAATTTGTTTATGAAGTATGATAGGTAGTCGTAATGTTCCTATGGTCACATGGATTGCTTTTGAGTGTTTAAGAACTAATGAATCTAGGCAACTGATTTCAGCAATGTGAGTGATGTTTGCAACTGAATATTCTGAATATTTATGTCAGTCTTCAGCTTGTAAGAGCTCCAAAAAAATGGATTCAGGTGGAAATTAGGTTGATTGACTTGTGCAAATGGTTTTGAGAATAGTCACAGAGAAATTCAATGTCAGAGATGCAAGCAGCATGCAGATCTTTTGGCATCAGACCTCCATAATCAAACAGCAACAAAGGACTTATTTTAGATTTACATATTTTATATGGAAAATATATGATATACCTGAGTCTTTATTCTAGACTGGGTGTTTCTGTAACAGCATTTCAGACATGCACCTTGCTTTATTACCACTAGAACATGTTGGGTTTGATGAATACAGAATTACTTACTGGTTGTCTGGTTTTAGGATGCCTGTAAAGTTGGGGTTTTTTTTGTCAGATGGCACTTTCTGCTAAGTGAAGTGAGAATATAATGTGGGTAAAGAGTATAAAACGTGCCACTGCTGCAACAGTTTGGATAGCACTTTTAATGTATTACTGCTTGCAATGCATTGCTTTTCTCCCTAAGTTCTGGTTCTGGGTATGGTAATGATTCATGATTATTTTTGCTAGTTTGTAGCTTACACTAGAGCTCATATTAATCAAGGAAACCATCATTTCACAGTCTATTTTCCTGAAGCTGAATTCTGTTTTCAGTGAAACAGGTCTATACTGATCCATACAGGCAATATAATAGCACCCTGATAGAACTGGTAAATAATGTTAGCCTGTAGTATCAGCTGCTCTTAAAATATGCATGTTCTTGGATTCTCATTTTTTCAGAGGTGTTAAATCAACCATGGCTCTGGGCAATTACTGAAAAAGTGATATAATAGAATTGTTGTTTTGCTTTATTTGGTAGCTCCTTAAGACAAGGAAAAATACAAATTGCTGTTTGTTTGTCCCAAAAGAAGGCAAAGAAATATAGCTACTACTTCTAGCTTACCACTTCAGCAAAGATTTTTCCACCAAAAGAACCCAGTCTCCCTTTATGTTCATGGCTAGTTATAAAAAAACCAAAAACCAACAAACAGCAACAAAAAAGCCAAAAAAGCAGATGCAAAAAAATCCCAAACTCTACTGCTTCATGTTTGAGCTTTGACAGTTATTTTTGTATGTATTGTGTATTTGAAAAGAGACACAAGTGCAACACAAGCCTATTTGAACAAAAACATCCTCTCAGTTTTCAAAAATGCTGAATGTCTTTCATGTCTTCTGAATGCTCAGCCTACTAAAATTTCAGTATAACACTCCTAGTTTTGCTGAAGTAATTTCAGAAGATTTATAACTATTTATCAAATGTTTTTCTGATGTACTGTCTGAAACATTGGTAATAGCTTCTTTAATACTTCTGAAAGGTGAGTTCTAAAGCCAGGCAAACCTATTTCACTCTGAGGAGAAAAAAACATGCTTTTTGATCAGCCATTTAATTTCAAAATTGCATTTTAATGAGTGCTGAAAAGGATCCTCTTAAAGTGACAAGAGCAAAAAGGAAGGATTTCCTGACCTTTTTTTAATGGAGGACCTTGAGTATTTCATACCTATTTTAGTTAATATATTCCTACACATAAAGGCTTTGCAGTAATACCCCTTTCATCTGCCCCTAAAAGAATAAGGCACCTACATTTTTTTGCCTTACCTTTTAAGAGTTAGTGTATGGAGACAGGAGATTTTTGGCAGGCAGCTTTCTGCCTGTTTTCTGTTTCATTTTTTTCCTTGATCTGGCACAACTGCTTGAATATAGACAATGTCTTTATTTTCAAGCCTATATGTGACACTCTTATATTGATGCAGATTGGCCACTATTTTATATTTTATATATAGGTATAGGTATGCATGTGCCTGTCTTCTCTCCTCGCTTGGCCACTATTTTATATTTTATATATAGATATAGGTATGCATATGTCTGTCTTCTCTCCTCGCATTTTTCCAACACATTCACTATTTCAGGAACCTTGTCCCATTCCCATTGCAATCACCTTCTCTTCCCTGTTCCCTTTCATTTCTCGTTTTTTTTTCTCAACCATCCTTTTTCCAACACATTCACTATTTCAGGAGCCTTGTCCCATTCCCATTGCAGCCACCTTCTCTTCCCTATTCCCTTTCATTTCTCGTTTTTTTTCTCAACCATCTTTGACATTTTGTTCTTACTCTTCTTCCAGCAACCTGTGGTGTCCTTTGCTCTCCCTTCTGTGGACTCCCAAGTCCTCTCTAATTCCATGGCCATCTTCCCCACTATTTTTCCTTTCCTTCACAGTGCCTACATTTCTCTCATTTGTTTCAGTGCTCTCTTCCCTATTGTCTTTCAATTAGCTCTTTGTTGTGCAAGAAGAAGAAATGAAAAAGCATTTTCTGCAACTCACTTTTGTATTTTAGCAATAAATGACCCCACCAGTGGGCCTTACCAAACTGTGCTTTGTTTTCCACAAAAGCATGAAACACACTGGTAAAATGAGTGTCAGATTCAGGGGATCTACACAGTGAATTACAAGTCTTGCACTTAGAAATAATGTCTCGTAGCTTTTTCTCCACAATGAGACACACTTCTCTGTGATCTTGCCCTCTACAGTTTTAGGTACAGCACTTTTAGGAAATCCATACCTTGACAACTCAATGTTTAATCACCCTGAAGTTATTCGACGATGCTGTGTACAGAAATGAAACTATAGCTGAGCTATGTGTTAGGAATATTCCAGTTTCAGTGCAATTAATGTCACTCAATGTGTAGCATAACTCAAGCATATAATTGACAACTCTGCATGTTATAACTGTTTGCTGAAGATGTCTCTCCAGTTTGTTTACAGCAGTGAGGCTCCTGAAAGAACCTTAGCATTAACTTCCTGAAGGGTAAAAGACAACTAGCCATTTTTGTTGTGACATTTATTATAGTAAGGTGCAGCACCACTTGGGAAATTGCAAAGTTTAATTTGCTGCTGCCTTACTGGCAATGTTGTGCTTTACCTCTGTGCAAAGTGAGCCTCAAAGTTACCACTCTAAATTCACAGTATTTATTCCTGCTTTTCACTAGTGTAACTAATCCCACAGAGTACCAGCTCCTCCAGCCCTGCATAATTGTCTCTTGATCTGAAAAGGCTTAGCTGAGCAGCTGGTTCCTTGCACGAGATCTCAGATTTGGAAGCAGTGAAGGAAAGAAATGGGCATGCTGCTGATCTTTGGTGGTATAACAGCACTTCAGGGACTGGTACAAGGTGTTCAAAGTTTAAAATGTTCTCAGAACTGTCCACAGACCAGCCTCAGGATGAGGCAGTTTGGAGTGTGGTGGGTTAAGGGAATAAAGCAAGTTTTTCCCATCTAGGTCCTGCACTAAGAGCTGCTCAGCTGGATCAGGAATTGGGGTAGATATGAAAGGATGTAGAGAGTTTCACAGTAAATGACGTGTTAGGCAATAGAGGTTTGGGGCAGAACTGTTTTTCTATATTGCTCATAAAGAAGGTATTTTCTGAGCCTACTTCTTCACAGATTATATGTCTTTGGAGTGCAGTTTACAGGTTTAAAAGCATTTTTAGCTAACTTTTAAGAGAATGATAAAATTAATACAATTAGGGAATCTTAATTTTTATTTAGATTCAGATGTGTCATAGTCAGCGATCAAGAGCAGTTGTGGTAGTTGTTGGATTACAGTCCCAAAATTAATTAGTTAATATTGATAAGTTTAGCAATACGAAGCTGTTAAAAACAAAGGACAGATTGCTTTGACATTCTGATTGCCTTACCTTTTTTTCATGATGGCAACCAGACATACCAGGCTGGCAAAATATATACTTGCCTGAAGGTTTTATTCAGCTGGAGATGCTGATCAAGGTCCCTGTCAAGCAAAGTCAGTGGCTGCATAGCACAGCAGCTCTGCCCACCCCTCTGTATGCATTTTATTTTTCACAAATTGCTTGCAGTGTAAGCTGGATATGTATCATAAATTGTTTACTTCAAGTTGACTTCTGCATCATCAAATGTGCCTTCTTACCATTTGTGTTTCCTCTATCAGCAAGGCTTAAAAGTGGAAGTGTGGCTGTGTGAACACATATGGCCTGGTTTAGCAGTTTTTGCTGTGTATATGGCCAATCCCAATTCCCTAGAAATCTTTCAATGACCAAGGCTTTTATTGGTGTGAACACAGTATTTAAAAACTCAAAATGACTTCTCTGGTGTTTTCATATTTCACTGCATTGCAGGTTTTAGCTGAGGAATGGTGTTTGAGGAAAATGTTCATGTAACAGAAAAGATACAGAGGGATTCTGCATCTGTCAGGCACATATTTGGAATGGTTTGTTACAAGCTATTGACCCTCCAGATATGTTAAGAAGTAATTGGTGCTCTCCTGGCCCTGCTCCATCTCCAGAGCACTCTCCCTGTCTAGTACATTAAGTCAACTCTAGCAGTTCTGTTCCATAGAATTCTTATATGCCATTATAATGTGATAAAATGTTTTGTCACACCAGAATCTTGCACATCAACAATTTACTGATCCCTTGCTTAATCTATAAAATGTTTTGTCACACCAGAATCTTCCACATCTACAATTTACTGATCCCTTGCTTAATCCCTTGAAAGGATTCTTTCAGTTGGCCTTCTGACCCACCACGTTATCTCTCTGGGTCACTGAGGAATGTTCTTACCTCACGTAGCTGGGGTTTTTTTCAGGTTTTTCAGCTGGGACTGTACCTTTGGTCACCTTGTGTTCTAAGACAGCACATGTACATGCCACAGAAACAAACCAAAGAACAATTTGAGCCATGCTATAAATTAAACCAAATGTAAAAAAGAAGAAACAAAACAAAAAAAAAAAAAAAATCCCCAATCTGTTATTGAAAAATATATTGCAAGTTGTACGATTCAGTTAAAAAGCATATCTGAGAAATTCACACTTACAGAAATGTAAAATATTTTCATGACTAGGAGAATAGATACATATTTTCTGAAATTCAGAACTAGGAATGGTACTTTAAAATATAAATACATGCAAAAAGTCCTTTTCCTTTCCTCCCTTCCCTGCTAGACTTGATGTAACAAATCTTTACAGCAAAATACCTGCACATGATACATAAATATTTAGCTGTTTCTGCATCAAATTTTTTCCCTAGTTCTTGTGTCGTTGGGGTGTGTACTGAGGTACGTGGGCTCATAAGCTCTTTGTGATTCTGCACTTGTACTTGTTTGTGAAAGAGCTAAATAGCATAAGACAAAGAACAAGTTCCACCTGAGTGAAAGGCAATGTGTGCCCTGAGTTGCAACAGGATTGTGTGAAGAGGTTGAGGGGAAAAGCATCGAGGGAGAGGGGAGAGTATTCATTTTGCTGGTTAGCCTGTTGAGTTTAGCATTTTTAGCTTGTTTTGTTAGGGGAATACAGACTCAGAACTCTAAATAGTGAGAGAAAAGTGCATTTTGAGGAGCTAAACATGGTGTGTTTAAGTCAGACTTTCAAAAGGATCTGTACCTGCATGTTTTTACAGCCTGGCCAGGCAGGTAAATTTGAATGCTCACATTTCTAACCACCTACCTGCAAGTATATACAAAGCTGTTAGAAGGTGGCTATGGAAATACCTCTCTGTGCTTCTTACAGCAGCTAGATTCCTCCTGTGCAAACTCACCACCTGTGCTTGGCACAACCACCTTTCTGAAGAAAACCATCAAACTCGAGTCTGCCAGGGAGTGAGATTTAATGGGATCAACAGTCATGCTGAAATATGCATGATTAGAATTTGATTTTTTTTTATAACACACTTAATACTCTTAAAAGCAGTGTTTTTCAGAAATTTCATGCACTGAGGTAAAAGTGCCTGTGCCCTGAGTCACTGATTCTTACTGAGGTTTTGCAAAGCCAGAAGCTCCTTATTTCTTGTAAGCCCTGTGAGGAGTCTGTTAGGAAAGATTCAGTATTAATAGGATTATAGCATACCAGTCTGTACCACTACTGATGGGATGGAGTTCAATTAAAGTGTCAGCACTCACCATTTGAATGTGTGTATTCACTTGCTTATTTATTGGACAGAAGGATAAAGATTTCTGTGGAAACAAATTGCAGCCTTCAGCATTGGCAGGAGCTCATTTCAAAGCCATTTTTCTGATCACTCTGAATTGGTGGGTGCTTTCATGTGACTGACCATCCTGTGAGCATAAACCTCCTGCTGCTGGCAAGAGATTCTCCCTACCCCAGCACACGATTATCTTTGGTTTGAAAGCACTTCCCATCCAGTGAGCTTGCAAGACATCACTAAGGCATTTATTGGGGTAAACTTTGGCACATGTTCATGTCTTCAATCTGGTCTTTTAACTAGTCAGAATGATTTTGTAGGTAAAACATAAAACTAGGCCAGTTATAGGTTAATTTCACACTGAGTGAGAAATCTGCTATCATGAGGGGTCAAGTCATAGTAAAACTCCGAATAAATTGCAAGAGGAAGTGCTTGGAAAAGGTGCTGATTTGGAGAAATTCTTGTCTGAAAGCTGGACACTGCATGGGAGCTAATGTCATAAGAGTGGGCAGAGAAACTTCTTCCCCAAGCAGCAAGGTGTGCCCTAATCCATACAGGACTGGTAGCACAAAAGGCTACCTGAGTTTGTGGTAGTCTAGAAGTCCCTTTTCTTCTCTTGCATGTAGACAGTGACCAGAGCAACCTGTTAATCCTTTGTATGTAAGCCTTTATTCCTCTCTGGTTTGCTTCCACAGGGTCAGTGATTGTATTTAGCTTTGATTTCAATTAGTTTAGGAGACCTTCAAAAAGGACACAATTTGAATCAAATGCACCAGAAAATTGTCATTATTGTGTCAGATTGGTGGTATATAGAATATACTTTTAATCTGAAGATACGTGAGCTCGTCAGTCTGCATTGCAACTCTGCACTGAAAATCTGGAATATTCAGAACTGATGCTAGGATATTGATCTGGGAAACGATATGTGATTTTTTCACATTTATCTTGTGCTTGGGGCTTACAGTCACCTGTGAGTTCAAAGCCCATGAGAACCCTGCATTGACTATATTGAATTTCTGCTTTGAGAAACTCAGGTGCAGTCAGCTTGTGCAAAGATTATGCATAACACTATCTGTTTAGGAAGACTTGTCTTCTTTACTACAATGTTATAATAGGAAAAAATATTCTAGTGCATTTAGATGTGAGCCAGCTTGTAGCTAACAAATTTGATTAAGCAATGAAATGGGTTTTGTTTGCACGTGTTGGCAAGAACTGACAAAGTGAGCATATAAAGCATTTCTCTCAAGTCTGTAAGCTGAGAAATGTCTTAGGAAAGCAAGCATCTGTAATACACCCTGATATATCTGACAGTGTACTCTCTAGAATTTCTGCCTAAATCAGTGACTAAGATGCTTGAAATCACACTCAGCATTGCATAATTCTTTGCCTGGAATAGGTACCTGTTCTGTCAGCTCTGAGAGTTTCTCCAGTGAAAAACTCTCAATCTTTACATATTCTTTCATGATATCTAAAGTTAAAAATATATTCTTGAGGAAAATTGGTAGCATGTGTGCACCTAAGTAACAGTGTGCAGTCATTACATCCACTATTTTTCACAATATACAGATTGCAAATTAGTAATTTTTACTTTTTTCTTTCCTGATAGATGTCCGTAGAAGAACAATTTATGAATACCACAGGGTGGAGCTACAGATGTCAAAGATTACCAATCTCTCAGCTGTTGAAATGATACCTCTTCCAAGTAAGTAAAGCATAACATAAGCAGGAGCCAGATCTAGGAAGCCCTTCCCTCTCCCTCCCAGCAACGTGTATGCAGTTTTAAATATTTTGTTTAAATATATTGTTTCATCTGTGGACTTAGAAGCATGAACAGATTCATTTATCCTCTCTCAGATTCCCTTATGGATGATGCATTACCCACTACATCCTCATGTATATCCAGTTAGTTTATAGGTATATAGTTCCCAGTAGGTTTTGAATGAAATTTGTGCCAAATCATTTTTTCAGAAGAATGATTATATTGCCTTTAAATTTGTTTCTTCAAGAAAAAAAAGGGAACAGTTTTCATGCTTGCAAGACAAACATAAATTCTGCTGTGTACTGTGCATCATATCACAAAGGAATATCCGCAAACGTATTTTGCAGTTTATCTGCCTCTTTTGTCCAAGGTAAAACTACATTGTTTAGAAATCTCTGGGTTTAAAATACCAGCTGTACTACTGTGAAAGGAATAGAAACATCTATTTGTCTTTTTTTTTTAATCCATTTATAGTTCTTGCACACTTTCATGCCAGTCTTATTATCTGCTTATGTCAGAATGTTACCACCACCAAGAAACAGGAGCCAGGGAACAAAGAGATTTAAGGAAATACTTAATATTGAGTGAAAAAAAGATAACATTTTAGCACTGAAGTTAAATGAACAAATGTGGAAGTGGCAATACATTTAGAAATGTAATCTGACAGATTTGTGCAATAGCTCTGCAATGCATTGTAACAGCCTGGGTTCAGGGTCTTACTTGGACATGTGTGAACCTCTTGAGTCCCTAAACATATATTGTCAGAAGATGTATTTTTCTTTTGTTCTTTCTATGTGAACTGTTTGTGAGACTAATGTGATAATTTGTATTTGTTTATCTACATCCCAGCTTGTCTCCAGTTTACCAGCTGTGGTCCCTGTGTCACTGCCCAGATTGGTTTCAACTGCAGCTGGTGCAATAAACTCCAAAGGTAAAGGAGTTTGGGTTTTTTGGTTTGCTAGGTTTTGTTGTTGTTTGGGGTTGGGGGTTTTTGGGGTTTTGTTTGGTTGGTTATGCAGCTGTGCTCTAAGGATATCCATAAACATTGCCTATAGGTTATTCAGCATTATAAGTTGTTACATTTGGGTCACATATATGCATTCACATGAACAGAAACCTCAATTGCTATCACTGGCAACACATCACTGTCCCATTTCACTTGAGCAGTTAGGTGAGAATAGTCAGTTGTTTCAGGAGTTAAGCTCTTGTTCCTATTTCATCAGTCATACTTTTAAATACTTTTGAAGAATAGCTAGCAAAAATCATAATAAAATCCATATTTTCCCCCTATATACCTGGCTTCATTAAAAATAATTTAACCACATGGAGATGCAGGGTAGAAATGTAACTATAAAGACATATTTGTTCTCTTAACAGTAGGGAGACCAACACATCTAAAGAGTCAGAGATGAGACTGGATGTGGCACTTAGTGCCATGGTCTAGTAACCACAGTAGGGTTGGACTCAGTGATCTTTGAGGTCTCTTCCAACCCAGTTGATTCTATGATCTTCTCTTGTAACCTGTCATTATACTTAGTTGGATACATTGGTTGGGTCTCCTCAGCTTCTCACTGCCCCATTGATGAGGAGAGTCAGGTCCATAGGAATGGTTTAGACTCTGTGGAACAGCTGGAGCACAGCCAACAAAATGGAAACTCTGCAGCTGTAGCTTTCAAAAAGTTCTTCACTCGCTGACCTTCATTTGCCTTCTTAGCAAGAATTTATTTAAGACTGGTTCTCTTAAACAAAATACGGTATCATAATTGATATTTATTGTTGTGCTTTTCAAACCTAGTGTTTAGGTTCAGAAATTATGTAAAAATGGATGCATAACAAAATGAGAAAAGGCTATTCACATTCTAAAATAGTGCAATAATTTGACACCATGTTGAAGAACTGATAAATGGCTGATGAACATGGTGTAGAATTAGGAACCTGGGGTCACTTTTATAATGTTTTCTTAAGTTTCAACTCTGGTAGTAAGTCACTTGAAAAGTAGATCTGTTCCCCATTGATCTCTCTGGTAGTAAGTCACTTGAAAAGTAGCTCTGTTCCCCATTGGTCTTGCAAAAACTTTTTAGTGGAATTAGAGCAAAGTGAAGTCAAGTAACAGATAACATATCAAACATCTTCAAGAATAAGAATACTTCTAGAAAACTGTTCCAAGCAAGCATGAAGAGTTCTTGGTTGCTGTAGCTGATTCTTTGCTTTCAGCATTGCTTGATTCTCCTTCTATCAAAAAATGTCATAGCACTGAGTTTCTGTTAGCTTTGGGTTGAGCAAGGTCAGTTGCTTTGTGGCCAACGTTCTCAATTACACTGTAAAGTTCAGGCCTCTTATGAGGAACAGGCAAACCTTGAAATCCTTAGTGGTTTTCTGTAGTTTCTGAAGAACTGAGTTTCCTGAGCTATGGTATTGCTGGAAAATCTGTTTCGCTTACTGAGGCACAAATTCACTTTGAAGAGCTAAGTTTTATCCTTCACCTTTACCAGGAGTAACACCAGGCATGTAGTTGCACTGTGTTTCCTTCCATGTATTTAGGGGAATTTGTGGCCACCACCTCACAACTGGCAAGGTATGATTTACTGCCGAAAAAATACCCAGTCTTAACACATCTATTTCTGTTCTATTAAATTTTGAATGAAGAAAAGCTTGCTTTTTGTTTTGCCTGTGAAGATCACACTGCAATCAAAGATGAACCTACTTGTGAGGCAGTCCTGCACTGTTTCCCAAAACTGTCTGGCTCCACACTGCAACGTGGTCATGCCTTTGACAAGCTACAGCAGATAGACTGGACAGTTTTATTGTTACCAGTTGGCCCATTACAGACAGTCAATGATCATCATTTCATACAGGCTGTCTTTGGACATTTTTTGACTACCAGCTAAAGCAGGAACTGGGGAGGATTCCTTAAAAAAAAAGGATGATTCCAGAAAAACAAACTAAGAATATGCCTCTACGTGGGAATTTCAGTAGTTTAAGAAGAGTCATACCATCCAATTTGCATGTGTTAAGATGAACAATATTCAGTCAGATTTTAGCAAATGGAGAATTGTGTGTATGTCATAAAAAAATTCTGAATGGGAACCATCCAATTTGCATGTGTTAAGATGAAGAATATTCAGTCAGGTTTTAGCAAATGGAGAATTGTGTGTAATGTCATAAAATAGTTCTGAATGGGAGGATTTTCTAAAGGTCATCTAGACTAACCTCCTGCTCAAAGCAGGGCCAGCTGTGAGATCAGACCGGGTTTTTTGTGTCTTTATTCATCTGGAACTTGTCCGCTGAGGCTGTGGTCCAGTCTCCAGAACATCTTAATCTTATACAAGATATTACACCTTATATTTTAACTTGTTATTTTCTCCAGAAACTTGGCTTTGGTGGTGGTATCTGCCTCAGGCCTCATTACCTTTCTTGGCCACTTTCCTACAACTTCTGAAACGAGCAGTTTCTTTCAACTATTTCAGCTGTACAGAGAAACAGATCTGAAATAATAAGTGGATACATATTTCTTGAAAAGAGGGAACTTGCTTTCCAAACTGTGAAGATTGAACATTTATTTAGTTACATTGCAGGATCACTGTGATGAGGGCTCATTCCTGTCTCAGCTTTGGAAATTTTCTGCTCCCTACCAGTTCTGGATACTCTCTCTGGTCTTCTAGTCTAGTGCCTCTCTTCTTTTACCTTGCTGTTCCTCAGCATGTATATTCATGTTAGGGAGATACAAAATAAAAATCTCATTCCATTCTCAGTGGAGATGCTGGGTTACAGGAGAGTATTCAGAATCATGTATTTCAGTACCACATTGTGACTTTGTTCCCCTCAAAAATAAATTTTCTGTGTTAAAATGTTCTTTTTGCATGTGATAAAGAAGCAATTGCTCAACAAGAAAATCTAATGTCCTGGTTAAAAATCACAAAGGATTGAGAACTGTGAATTCCTTCATCACAGCGCTCCATCGTTTTCTGTGTGTCACTGCTCTTCAGTCACAAGCTTTGTAAATCAATGGAGACTTTTATCTCCTATTATGATATACATTGCTCTGCTACAGTAGAATAAAATCTTGAAAAAACGAGGGCAAAGCATTACATGAAACATCAACTTAGACATTTGTGAAGTGCCTAGAGTACAAAGAAAATTAAAAATTTACAGTTCACTTTCAAATGAGTGCTCATAGGGGTTTTTGAAGTAGGAATAATACTTAGGAGTAATGCCTGGAAAAATATTTCTCAGTTGCAAAGCTGACTGGAAACAGTGGTCCAGAAAGTGAGGAACCAAAAGCTCTCTCTCTTACTGTAGGCAAGACCAGGGTGGGCAAGCCAATTAGCCTTTGATGCTAAAGCCTGAAGAAGGCTTTGAGCTGACAGTGACTTGTTTTCAGTTTAGCAATAATCTACTGACTGATCTAGCACTCTGATTTCTGCAGAGGGTGAATGCCTGTTTGCTGCTGAGGCTGCTGTCACGCAGTAATGAAGGTCAGACATGGCTGGAACACTCAGTGATGCTCCTTCTGTGGTGCCACACTAGGACTTTGGTGCTCTAAAGTGAGATGTCCCAGAGCAGACAGACCTTCATGTGGGTAGCAAGTAAATACATATCCATTGGGAAACAAAACTCTATACCAATTCTACAAATATGTTTTTCTCAGGAGCTTATTTCCCCATTTAGCCAGAGTAGCATTACTACCAGGAACACCATTTTATTGGGATTTTTTTCTTGCATAAAATTTAATCTACGTATTAAATCATTCACACAACAAAGTACAGTTTTTGGTAAAAAACTTTATAGAAGACCTGTAACTGCACATGGAAAATTGACCAGCAGAACCACTGCCAAATAACTGTACTCCCCCATGTGGGTAATCTGTGTTGCAGTGAAAATGGCTTTATTCTACAGGAGGGGATTGTTTCAGAAATGTCCCTTCAGCCCAGCTGCTGTGCAAACCCTGCAATGGTTGGAGGGGCAGGTTCATCTGGTCATGATTCTGGGCAAAATCCTCCATTCTTGCACTCTTTACAACCTTAAATCACAGTTAGCCTTTTCATAAGGGGTCATCAAACTACCCACTCTGAAATCCAATATGATGTGTGTCATACAATTTTATCATGACTGAAGCAAAGGCATATCACTTTCTTTTGGCATCAGCAGATGGAGGATCCCCCTAGGAGCTAATGTTTTATAGAACTATGTATATTTCATAACTGTTTCATAAGTAAAATTGTTCAAAAAGAGATTAACTATAAATGTGTAAGATAACATTCTCCAACACAAGGATCTATGTCTAAAAAATGACAGAAACACTTTAGTGTCTGTCCCATAGTAGTCACCTGTGGCTGAAACTTGGCTCATTTGCTCTTCATTATCTCTGACTTCCTGATGTGTAAAAATTGGGCGAATTCATTACTGTTAGATTTGTTTATATCATCTTTTTATCCTTCTGAAAATGTTTATATGCTCCAGGCACTTGGTATAGTTTGCATGTTATAGATGTCATTTTCTAGGAAAGTTTTTGGAGGCTTTAAGACAACCTTGCTGTTATATGATAGGGTCAATTTGTAGAATTTGCTTGCATATACTGAAATACTGAGTTCCCTCAGAAATATTTGAAGTTAATTGTCCAATAAGTAAAGATTCTCTAGATATTCATGGTTTTATTTTGCTGAACTTCAGGAAAGTCTCAGATTTGGGCATTGAAATGAAACTCATATTTCAGAGTGTTCAGAAATAAGCAAAGAACACACTCTTGCAGTCTGTGTATCTGGGAACTCAGGTTTTGAATATCTCATACTTCATTAATACAGGACAAAAGCATCTCCTGATCCTCACAAGATCACTCAGTTTTAGTGTAGTATCATCAAGCCATCACTGAAGACAGGGAACTGGAGTGCTAAGGCAAAGAGCTGCAAACAGTTTAGATAATAGTTTTATTCAGCTA